TAATTGAAGGATTCATATAAGACCGAGGTTAGGGACATATACCCTAAATTACATTAGGATAAAGCGAAGAGCAAGTGACGATTTTGAATAGAGCTAATTTTTTGATTGCCCTTTCAATATTGTTATTTCACCCCACTGCGACCAAGCAAGAAGTACAGTCGACTTGTTTCGCGCTCCGGTATTTCGGAAGTTTTCTCGGTATTCGGTTGGTTTAAATTATCAGTTTTTTCTCGCTTAGTGATTACTGGCATAGTACCCGGCTGAACAATTATCTGAAAGTGAGTTTTTTTTCTGAGAAGAAAGTGTGTTTTCGGCATCATCGGAAGGAAAATTGTTTTTGCGATTGCCAATTCGCCAACCATTTTGCGCACCATCGGTGCGTGATCACGCATACCGGCACACAGATCATCGTCATCGAGTGTCAGCATCTGCCTCCGCATTTATACCGGTCATCCATCATCGTGTGTCCAGCTGAGTGCCGAGCCTAATACAAGCACACCACTACAAAGATCGCCCGCACACGCGCATCGAAGGTCACCCACGCTGCGCGTCGCTCCGCTGCTGCTGTGTAATCACTCGGTGGTAGTAGTATAGCAGATAAGTTTTTTTTTTCCTGTTTCTTTCTTTCTCTCGCCCATCAGTTAAATTTAATTTTGTGTTTCTGTGTTTGTATTTTTTTTCTGTTTATTGTGTCTGTGTGGTTTTAAGCATCGTTTTAGTGGTAGAGCGTTTACCGCTCCCACTAGTACGGCAAAATGGACGTCTCGTCAGAAGACGATATGGACATTTTGTCGGAAGATGACACCAGTTTGCCACTCGATGGCATGAAAAGACGAAAACGTCCTGTCATTCATGGTTCGTCTCAGAAAAACCCCCGATCGCGAGCCTATCCAGATAACTCGACTGGGCCATGGGTTGTCTACTTTCAGCCCAAAAATAAACCTTTGAACTTGATGCAAATTTCCACTGATCTGACGAAGCGATACTCGGCCGTGACCGAAATCACGAAGGTTAGGCATAATAAACTTCGTGTTGTCGTTTCTAACCTGAAGCAGGCTAACGAGATTGCTGCCTCCCAGCTCTTTACGATTGAGTACAGGGTTTACATACCAGCTCGTGATGTGGAGATCGAAGGTGTGGTCACCGAAGCGAGTCTGACCCCCGAGATCTTGGAGAAGCAGGCGGTTGGCCGTTTCAAGAACCCCTTGCTCCCCCCGGTGAAGATACTGGATGTCCAAAAACTGGGCTCAGTATCTGTCAGCGAGGGTAAAAAGAGTTTTACCCCCACAGACTCGTTTCGCGTGACCTTTTCTGGTTCAGCCCTTCCTCAGTATATCGAGCTGGGAAAACTTCGACTACCTGTGCGCTTGTTCGTTCCCCGGGTCATGAACTGCCAAAAATGTAAGCAGTTGGGACATACGGCGTCCCACTGCGGCAGCAAGGCACGCTGTTCCAAATGCGGGGAGAAGCACGAGCATGGCGCCTGCACAGTCACGGCACCAAAATGCGTGTACTGCAAAGGATCTCCTCTTCATGGTCTCTCGTCGTGTCCGGTGTACAAACAACGCGGGGAAAAACTAGAGCGCTCTCTTAAAGAACGTTCCAGGCGGTCTTTTGCAGAAATGCTTAAAACAGCCAAGCCATCGACCAACGAAACAAATCCCTTCGCTCTTTTGTCAGATGACGAGTCTGGCTCTGACTTGGCTGAGGAGGGAGTTTCTTTCAGTTTTCCGGAAGGTTCTGCCCGGAAACGAAAACGCATCCGTTCGCGGAAAGTTGCAGATCAAGAACCCCAAATCAGCTTGCCCAAATCAAGGAGTGGTGGAAAAAAGGAGACTTCTACTCCTCCTGGATTCCGCAGAACTGATTATACCCAGGATTTTCCACCTCTCCCGGGGACATCCAAAACCCCTGATGCCCCAATTTTCAGAACACAAGCCCCTTCTTCATCTGGGTTGTTCTCATTTGATAACATTGTGGACAGTATCCTAAATTACCTCGATATTTCTGATCCTCTGAAAAGCATTGTTCTGGCAATGCTTCCTACTGTGAAAACCCTCTTGAAGCAGTTGACATTAAAGTGGCCCCTCCTTGCAGCAATCATCTCCTTCGATGGATAATTTTCCAAACGAGGTCGGGGATTTGATCACTGTTCTACAGTGGAATTGTCGAAGTCTTATTCCTAAGATAGAATCGTTTAAGTTTTGACGTAGGATTACGTCTTTCGGCAACATATTGGGGGTGCAATTTCAAAAAACCAAAATCGACCGCGGGACGAAAATAGGTCAGGTTTTGACCACATATACCTCTGTCAATAGCAGATGAATTTTAATTCTAAACAAGCCAAACAATTGGGAATTTATCTACCAATCTGCTAAATTGAACACTTTATTAATTTTCAATAGGTCACTATTAAAAAATACACAAATGTCCAACTGTTACAATGGTGATCAAAATTATCACCGATTACCTGCAAACAGCGCATTCCCTAACACAGACTCAAAAATAGAATTCCATCCTGTCTCACTAAAAGGTGCTCATTAAATCACCGTGTGTGGTGGTGCCCGGTCGACGGTGTCCGCAGCAGCAGCATCAGTAGCAGCAGTTTCGGCGTGTGGCGTTTACATTGTTCTCCAGTACATCACGAAAGGCAGCCTGAAAGCAGCGAGCATCCATAGAAGGGAAGAAGAAGCCGCGTCGCGATCGATATCAGTTTCCTCGTGAGTAGCTGTGGGTCATCAATGCCTAGCGCGTCAACCTTGCTCCAAACAATTAACAGCTCGCCAGCCTCATCCTTGTTGAACACCCTAATAGCTCAGCATTACTCAACCATCACGACTAAAAGGTCCTTTTCAGGACCACCACAAATTTATTAAAGAGTATGTTTTGGACATTTGTAAAGGTCATCAATCGGATGTCAGTTCCCGCAAGCAGCTAATTATCAAAGCTCAGCCTGGTCTATAGAAGGTGTGGAATTGTAGGCCTGAATGTATTGGTGCAATTCGTTTTCACTCGATGTTCATTCCGCTTCGTTCATTTGTTTACTCAATCACCCTTGTAGTTACGTCAAAAAGTTTGTTTCGATCGACGCTTACATAGGAAATTTAATAGGAAAGGTGATAGTTGCCCCTATCCGATGATGTTGTTGGTTTCCGCGGGCATACTTTGGTTTGCGTGTAAAAGGCCTTAGAAAGTTTGTTTACAAATGCTTTTGTGCCGTTATCAAATTAATGTAAGGCCTGAATTGGTCAGGTTTCTACCAATAGCAGATGGATTTTAATTCTAAACAAACCAAACGATTGGAAATTTATCTACCAATCTGCTAAAATGAACACTATTAATTTTCAATAGGTCACTATTGTAAAATACACAAATGCCCGACTGTTGCAATGGTGATCAAAATTATCACCGATTGCCTGAAATCAGCGCATTCCCTAACACAGATTTAAAAATCGAATTCGATCCTGTCTCACTGAATGGTGCTCATTCAATCACCGTGTGTGGTGGTGTCCGGTCGACGGTGTCCACAGCAGCAGCAGCAGCAGCAGCAGCAGCAGTAGCAGCAGTAGCAGCAGCAGCAGCAGCAGCAGCAGCAGCAATGCTTTCGGCGTGTTGTTGAACATTTTCTCCCGTACGCTACGAAAAGTTGCCTGCAAACAGTGAGCTGCAGAGCCCACATAAGCAACTATAGGAAGAAGAAGCCCCACCGCTTGGAATCAGAATCAGAATCAGTAGCTCTTCGTGAGTCGCTCCGTGCGGGTCGGTCATCTATGCCAAGCGTGTCACCCTCGCTTCAAACAACATACAGCTCGACAGCCTCATCAGTGTTAAGGTTCAATTTACTTTGATGCTTTTTTGAAAAATTCAAAAGCAGTTTTTTTCGACGCATTAGTCCAGATTGCAAAATGCTCGCACTATTCGATTCCTTTTGCTATTCTACACAAAATGACGCGAGCTTTTAGCAATCTGAAAGAATGCGTCGAAAAAAACTTCTTTTGAATTTTTCGAAAATGCATCAAAGTAAATTGCTCAGCATTACTCAACCATCACGACAAAACGGCCCTTCTCAGGACCACCACAAATTTATTAAAGAGTATGTTTTGGACATTTGTAAAGGTCATCAATCGGATGTCAGTTCCCGCAAGCAGCTAATTATCAAAGCTCAGCCTGGTCTATAGAAGGTGTGGAATTGTAGGCCTGAATGTATTGGTGCAATTCGTTTTCACTCGATGTTCATTCCGCTTCGTTCATTTGTTTACTCAATCACCCTTGTAGTTACGTCAAAAAGTTTGTTTCGATCGACGCTTACATAGGAAATTTAATATGGATTATTGAATTTCTTGTATGTTACCGAAATTTATGAATGGTTAGTGGCAGATGTTGAGATAATTAATTGATTACTTAATTATCACACTGTATATCATGAAATGAAGCTGGTTTGTGAGTTTTTGCCTGTTATCTAGTAAGGAGTTATCTAAAAAAAAGTAAGAGGTTGTATCCAAGACACGACCATAGATTTGACGTAGGATTACGAAAGGTAGTATAGCAAAAGTATTGTAAATATTAAATTGATTTCTTTTCTTAACTGAACTTCTTTCTTATTAGTGAAAAATTTCGATAGGTTGAAATTCAAAAGTTATTTGAGAGTTCTGTTTTTGATGTGCTCTGTCTGTTATTTGAAGTCTTCAATAAACTCTTTTATCAATCATTTGTGGTCCTGAAAAGGACCGATTGGTTGGTAGCTTGTAAGCCAGTTTAGAACAATGCTGTGGAATTTTTTCCTCGGTGTTCTTGGAGATGATAGCGGTGCTCATGCGTTGCACCTGGAGCTATTGGTGAACAGTTTGGTGAAGAGCGTTGGCATAGTAGTCCTCAATTGATGTTCTTCGAGAAGGTGGAAGCAGTGTTCATCCTTTGCATACAGATGATTGAGATTCTATCAAATGATTGAAAGAATATTTATATACTAGAATTTTCAACATTTTGTGAACTATTACGGTATATTTACCAAATTATTGATTTTGGTTGTACTGTGGAATGATAAAAATGTGGTTATCGCTTTCGTGTCCTGGAAGAAATAGCTATATGGTAATGGTGAATCACAGTTTATAAAAATGCACTTACTGTGGTTAAATCTCAAGCACTGAGAGTATCGGTCTGTGGTATGAAAAATACGCACAGTATCTTATACATTCTACCCGAATGCTCCGAATGAAGGTAAGATCTAGACACGACCCACCGAAAGTAGTGGCTTGACTTCGATCTGAGGCTAAATCGAGATAAAGGTACGTTTTCATGAAGTCGATAAACTCAAAGTTTTCAGGCTTCGACACATCGACGTTGAAATCCCCAGTTATAACAATGGGCATTGTGACACGATTGTACATTACCAGGTTACGCGCTAAGAAATATTTCTTTTGCTTAAGAGTAGTACCTGGTGAAAAAAGCAAAAAAACAAAACAAAAAGATAAGTGAGATATACAAGAATATTTTTTTGTTTTATACCTGGTGAAATATACAACGAAAACAGCATCGTACGAGCTCCCATGACTGAAATTTCTACAGCGCAGATGTCACCGTACTCGTCTGCTCCATCCAACAGCTCATCGTAGCTGGCACTGAGTTTATCAATGACGTGAGAAACGGCCATAGTAGATGCAGCAGTGTTCTGAAAGATGGCTACCCCTCCAGCTCTTGTACCGTCACGTTTTTCTTGAGTGATGCAGTCGAATCCAGCTATAGATGTGCTTGTGCAGTTGTCTTGCCAAGTTTCACTCAACGCAAGCAAATCAACGGTGGAGAGAACACGATCTGTTGCAATATCTGATGCGTGTGCATTCAGGCTTTGTACATTTATACTCATCAGCATACAAGCTGATCTCTTTAACATTATGGCTTCCATGACATCCTCTCCGATGGTGCGCAAACGGTGATTGCTCAAACGCTCAAGCTCTGTTCGAAGATCGCGAATTCTCGGCGTTGTAGCGCTTTTTCCGTGGTGGAACTTGAAAACATTGCTAGAGTTCGTCAAGTATAGTCCTTCGATGGAAGTAACCCTGGAAAGGCCAACGTAAACCAGTTGTTGCTCCTGGCTTTTCTCATAATTATAAACAACTTCTGCAAACGTGCCTCCTTGGGACTTGTGTACCGTAAGGGCACATGCACTCACCACCGGAAATTGAATTCTCTTGCACTTAACTCCACCGTTAAGGCTGATGTTTGCTGATCTCCTGGCGATGGGGGTCCACTCAGATTTTAAAACACCGGGCTTTGAGTACACCATCGGTCTGGCCTTCACTCTCAACGTCTTCCCAATGGAGTTATTCTCGAACATCATCCAAAGCCTCATGATCTGCTGCAGAGGATCATCTTCGTTACGCTCGACAAACATAAGCTCCCCAATCGCGCCATTGACGATTCCATCTTCAACATCGACATTGGTGGTTAACATGTACGGTGTACCCACCGCAAGCCGCAGTAAATAGGGCAGGCAACCAGTCTCCACTACGCTCATCTTATGCACCTTTGTTCGAGCACTTGCCAGCTGGGGATTGTCCTTATACCCTGAATATACATCATCTGCCGTACATTCGATTGTCTCTCGATCGATCAATGCGACGGAATTGTAGCATTCCACGTCGACATTTCGATGGAATAAGCGAATTGCACGCGGTACATGCTGCTGACACCACTCTGGTGTACGGAATCTGCTTTCGATTAGGCTGATTTCTTCCGGGGACAACTGTTCGCCGTTACCGATTTTGGTAAGGATTGTAGAAAACTGTACGTTTGTTTGCCGCATAACCTGAACCAATGGGTAGAAATCGAGGGATTGCCATAAAACGGCACCGTGCATTGAATTCGCACTTGGTTTGAATACTGGCCGTGCATTCACTGGAGGTAACTGCCGAAGATCACCGCAAAATACAATTCGCATTCCACCGAATGGATCATCATAGTTCCCTGTGATTTCCTGGAGCCGGACGTGTACGGTGTTGAGAACATTAGCACCAAGCATGCTGGTTTCATCGATGATGATGGCTTTCACGTTTGCAAAAGCATTGCGATACAGTTGCAACGCCTCAAAACTCAGCTTTGAGCTTTGCCTGCGGGACATGGTGATCCGAAACGCAGAGTGAACGGTTGTTCCACCGATCGCAACAGCTGCCTTCCCAGTCGATGCACATGCTACATATGCATTATTTTGCGTGTTGTGTGCCTGACTGAACCGATTGACTGTCTCCATAAGAATTCGCAATGTGAATGTCTTACCACAGCCTGCCGGGCCAGTGAAGAAAATTTGCAATGGTTTGCTGTTATCATCGAAGGTGTGTAAGCTGTGGATGACTTGCAGGATCAAATCACGCTGCTCCGCATTTGTAGCACGTACCATCTCACAATACTCCTGCTTCGACATAACGTTGGAGCGCTGTTTGACAACTGCCGCCAAGGGTCCAGTGGGCAAGTTATGAATGTCATCGTCATTTGGCTCCATGCTGATTATGCGGACGAATTCATCGCGCTTCTTGCTAGCAACCTCCGTCTGCTCGTCATCTACACTAGAAAGACGAAGATATTCCTCCACGACCTGATCCAGGTTCATCTCGCAGTCATACTCTTTGTGTTTGGCGAGAATGGCAGTCTCGTTGTCTTCATACAACTTAAGAAACTTATTTCTATCGAGTATATCGCAGACTTCATTCCTGAATGGCAAGAAGAGCAGTACCATCTCCCGTTTGTACTCGACCAGTTCCGACATGTTGTATGAGCACCAACGCAATACACGAGGTAAGCTTCGCGGCTTGTACAAATTCATCGTGCTCCTTTCCTCCGTATAGTGTGCAGCAAAATCCGCCAAACATACTTCGTCCATCCCTACACGCGACTCATATCGTTGAATCATGTTGAGGGTCCAAACATCGGTGGAATCATCTTCAAGTCCTTCTTCATCCATTTGCTTCGTCCGTTTCCTGGATTTAATGCGCTCATGTGGCCACATTGTTGGAATGAATTCCACCTATAAGATTACGACAAATGATAATTATGCTCAACTGATACAATTTTTCATCTACAAATCAGTACCTTACGGCTAGCTTCCGACATCGGTTGCCGAAGCAAATACCATGCAGCTTCCTGGGCAGACATTTCAACGCTGTTAAGCATTTTAATGCTGACCTTCTTCAGCAATCCATTATAGTCCTGGTCTGGATGCTCTTCTTGAAGTTTTATTAGTTCACGGTGTAAACTGCTTATGCCCCTGTTCGTTTTATTCACATATTCTACGACATAAGCAGCACATGAGAACTCTTCTAAGATAAACTGCAAATCCATGTTGGAGCGGAGGATCTTCGCGATCCAAGGGTTGAAAGGATTGGTCCAGAGTTGCGTCATTAAACGTTTCAGCATAACTGTGGGTCGGCGAATGGATGAACGGATCACATCGAGGTAATACTCGTAAGTGCAGTTGCATTCCACAAGGAACGCTTCTAGGTTTTCGAAAACCTTTGATTCAAGAGTTTCTCGCATTTTGATAGCTAGTCTGCTCAACTGGTCGAGGCGGCCATCACCTGCCGCAATTGGGATTAATATTCTAGTCTGATCCATCGGCCAGTATGGTATATTGAACCGGCATCGCTTATCATTACGTTTGAAGCAAGTAAACGTATGCTTATGAACCTAGAAGTATTGAAATTCAATTGTAATCACTCGTCGAAATATATGTAATCTTCATGTACCTGATTGCCATAAGTCTCAGGTAAGTCTTCAACACTAACGGAGCAGAGGAAATCGATCAGATCAACAGTCGCAGGCATATTCTCCGACATGTCTTCACGAGGATCGTTAGCCAACCAGAGAAGAATGTGAGCGTGGGGACTTCCGCGATGTTGGAACTCTATGCGTTTAAAGTAATCAACAACATAGTATTTCCCAAACGGGCTGTATCTTGTAGACGAAAGCAGCTGTATAATCACATTGACCAATTTATGGAAGTATGCGCAGCATGTTACAGGATCTTCGCTTACAAGCGTAGCCCGTTGTAATGCAGTTAATTGTTGCATGAAATCTACAACACCAGCATTATTGCACCTTCCCGATAGTTTGTGCAGTATGGCTAGCAAATGTGGCCATCGAATTTCACTTGCGCTTAATGTGAGAAACATAGTTGGCTTCCCCAACTGACGGATCATTGCAAAAACATCACGTTTTCTTTGCTGCCAGTACTGCATCGAGTTAGGGATGGATTTAAGGAACGACAGGTTACGCTCGATGCATGTCTCCAGAAATTCTCTATCTTGCAACTGGGCTCGCGTAATATTGGCTGTACCCATGCATTTGAAAGTGTTTCTCAAACCTTCAGAAACTCGCAAACGCATTATCTTCATCGCCATGTACAGAACATGGTCGGGTTTTGCCCCTCGTCGATCACGGCGTCTTATTTCGCTGGTAGCCATCATAAATGGTGTTACGTGAACTTCAGGATTGAAGGTTCTTGGATGACCCAGGTAAATATCTGGGAAAGACAACTCCTCAGCAAACTCATCGTAAATGATGGATAGCGGTGTTCGATTTTGTCCCGGCGCGATTTCGAGACACTTGTCCTCATTCCACAAAAGCGTATGCTGTTGGCCAATGAGCAGCTCAACCTCGTTCGACGCGTCAATTGCCTCTAGTTCAATCGAAGCTCTCACAACCGGGGATGTAGCAGGTTGCTGTGCTGGTCCGATAGACGTCAAATTATCTTCGTTGAAAACAATGCCGTTTCGTCTGTACAACGGTGTGTTGACAAGGAAGTTCAGCCATGCCTTAACTGTTCCTTTCTTTACGTATCCGGACAGATAACTAGACTTATGGATCATGTGTTTCTTGATACACACATTGAACGCATAATCATCATCCAGCTGACGGGGAAGCTCACTCACCATCTGGTTCACATCCACTGGAACATTGATTATCTGGCCAATAATCTTCAAACTACCTGTTTCACAAAAATAAATTGAGTTTATCAATGAAAGATTAACTAAACGTCATTCTACAAACCTGCTGCATGACGCAAACGGCGAAGTTGCATGAAATTGACTCTCGGTGAAACCAGTCTCGTGGTCAACGGATCTAGTGGAGGCAGATTTGACGGAAAGTTGGGATATGTAAAGCCGTTCGTTTGCGATAAAGTAGGAATCGATCCACGTTTCAGGCTGCTTCGGCAAGTTAGACATGCTAAGAATCCTTCCACAGTTTCAAAATAGTTCGTCACCAGCAAAACGGTAGCATCGGCAGTAGTTATTGGCTTCAGATCATTCCTAAACCAAATTCTTGCACACACGTCACATGCATAACCGAAATCGTTTTCCATAAAACGTTTCTTGAACTCCCGGTCAGCACGATCGAAATTGGGTTCTCCTTGAGTCGAACGCAGCGAAATAATCATATCATCATGGACACCATCGCAAACGTTTTCATCCAAGATCCCATCGTTGACTTCTTCTTGCGTGGGACACGGCGAGGGAATTTTAGAATCACGAAATGCATCATGTGTCACAGTAACACTATCGACGTTTGGTTCTTCTTGAGCAGGACGTGATGAGTTTTGCACCGGAATAACGCGGGTGGTGTTGAATTCTTGCCAAAGAAGACGCGATGAGAACATTACTTTTGAACATAATTTACCACAGAATAACATTGACAGTTGCAACACTCACTATGTGAATCGAGGGTATATAAGGAAAAAATGTGGAACAGGAACCGATGCCAAAATATAAAACTGCTTTTCTTGAAGATAAATACTCAGTCCACAATAATTAACAAAATAAAAATCTATTATATAGATTTCACATCGTGTAACTTTATAGCATATAATAAATTGATCTTGTATTGAGCTACTAGTGGAATAGATATTGAGCTGCTTGGTTTGGTAATATTAAATTAAATATCATACTTTAAAGGCACAAGTTTATCTTGTTTTGTACAGCCTGTTATGCATCCTGAACACATGATAATGTATCCAATATATAATCGAAACCTTCAATCAAAAGGTAATGAATTGTTCATAAATATACCATACAATTAAAAAAACCATCCACCAACCAACCACCATAACTATTATAATTATTTTATATGACTGGTGGCTATGCAGCCTAATGGTTTTAATTTTAACTTAAAGGTGGTTTAAATAATTGCAGGGCTGTTACAAGATTTTCTAAATTTGATCCGCGAAATCCGCGATTTCTCAAAATAAATCCACGACTTCAAATACTAATCCGCGACAACAAAAACTGTTTTCATTGCCTAAAACTACCATTTGTATACTACTACATGGCATTTCAAGCTTATTGGCTTATAGCATATTAGATTTTTGTCAGCTTTCAACTTAGTAATCTTTGAAGTACTTTCACATTTTAATTGAGAGCTTTATATGCCTGTACCATCCTATGCCCAAGGAAGTAGAGAAATTTTCCAACCCGAAAAATGTATAGACACAGTCGCCTCCAGCATGGCAAATTTGAATTTTTTGGCTCTCTGGAGACTGGTAGTAAAGCGGGTAAAATTGTATGGGGAAAAATCATTTTTAATTAATTGTAGCTTGATTAACTATAATTTCCGGGAAAAAACTGAACGGCAAATTCTCTAATAAATTTCTTTAGGTTGTCGTTCACTTTTTTTGACCTGAATATGCACCGAAAGCGAATTATTCCCACTTCTCTCAATTTCTATATGGGGATTTTAATCACTTCCTACCAGCGGAACAGCGCCATCTCTGTGGAAAATTGTCGAACAAAATAGTCAATTAGTCTTGGGTGATTTAGTAGAAAAATATTCTGATCTCCAATATGATTTCAGAACCTATAACATCTTGTATACGTTGCAATAGGTCAGGTACAATCAGACACTTTGAATCTGCTTGGACATATTTCGATACTACAGACATTATATTACAGTCTTGGTTGATATAGTAGAACAAATAAACTGAACTCTAGGATGATTTGTAGATCCTAGAATATCCGGTATACATTGCAATTACTCACATATATACGATTCGTTTATGATTTGACAACGAAAAATGCTATGTTCATATTGGAAATAAAAAGAAACATGAAAATGTCTCACATTGGACAGACCCCAGAGAATTTCCGTGTAACAGAGTTAAGGAATTGAGATCATTTCTCGATTATTTGCAGGGTGTTAGCTTATGCAAAAGCTTATGTTTGAATCAGTTGATGTGTACAGTAATAATTAGATTTAATCAGCCCCGTTTTTTGAAAATCATTTAAAACCATGCGCTTGTCCAGTCGTGTAATTGCACCAAAGTGCACCTTAAACATCCATCTTTAAGAAGAATAAGAAAGTTTTTAAAATTACGGTTATATGTTATCACTGAGAGTTATAAGTATGATGCGCAGAGGGGGTGATAAAATCGAGTAATCACTGTGTCCTTATTTATAATATTTAAAATCAGCAATAACACTTTTTTACTGCTGCAAATATACAAAACGGCCTGCACAACACTATCGCAATGCAAACAACAAGTTTACTCATGTTGTTTACCAATTTATTCTTTTGAAACTAAGAAATAATCGTGAATTATCACTCTCAGATGCTTTACAAACAATGTACATCTTTATTTCAAAGGAAAATAGGCAAATGTCCTACCTTGTCTTGAAGACCCTTCTCCAGCATCCCATCCAGTAGATAAAGCAATGTTGTCTCTAGCCGTTCTGATCCTGTCTCGGTAACACCGTTTTCTTTCAGCATCAGTTTTCGGCTGCTTCTTCGGAGGTTTGTCCGCTTGCTCTTCCTTTGCGCGCTTACGTGATCGGCGCTTGTATTGTGTAGCCAAATGCTGCGACATGACTTTATTGATAAACTCGCAAACAATTTCTCAATTATCAATTACTTCGTACAATTGTAGAAATTTGAATAGATTGAACTGCCCATCAATTTTGGTATTCGGAAATGAAATCTGCATACCGGACGGTACTTACCTTTATGCTTTTAGATGCAAATTTTAAGCCCCTCCTACTAAGAGAATTCGGCAAGATTTGATTTTGGCATAATTCTCTTAATAGGAGGGGCTTAAAATTTGCATCAAAAGGCATAAAGATAGGTACCGTCTAGTATGCTATCACGGTATCATGGAAAAACTTCGTTTTATGATGACGTTATTATGTATTGCCGTGCACAAAACGCACGGAATTTTGGGCTTTTTCCATAAATGAAAAATATGCGAAAATTGATTGTAGGAATCTAAGATGGGATACCTCGACAATTGTTCAAATATAACTCTTTAAAAAATTTATGGTGGTCCTGAGAAGGGCCGTTTTGTCGTGATGGTTGAGTAATGCTGAGCAATTTACTTTGATGCATTTTCGAAAAATTCAAAAGAAGTTTTTTTCGACGCATTCTTTCAGATTGCTAAAAGCTCGCGTCATTTTGTGTAGAATAGCAAAAGGAATCGAATAGTGCGAGCATTTTGCAATCTGGACTAATGCGTCGAAAAAAACTGCTTTTGAATTTTTCAAAAAAGCATCAAAGTAAATTGAACCTTAACACTGATGAGGCTGTCGAGCTGTATGTTGTTTGAAGCGAGGGTGACACGCTTGGCATAGATGACCGACCCGCACGGAGCGACTCACGAAGAGCTACTGATTCTGATTCTGATTCCAAGCGGTGGGGCTTCTTCTTCCTATAGTTGCTTATGTGGGCTCTGCAGCTCACTGTTTGCAGGCAACTTTTCGTAGCGTACGGGAGAAAATGTTCAACAACACGCCGAAAGCATTGCTGCTGCTGCTGCTGCTGCTGCTGCTGCTACTGCTGCTACTGCTGCTGCTGCTGCTGCTGCTGCTGCTGTGGACACCGTCGACCGGACACCACCACACACGGTGATTGAATGAGCACCATTCAGTGAGACAGGATCGAATTCGATTTTTAAATCTGTGTTAGGGAATGCGCTGATTTCAGGCAATCGGTGATAATTTTGATCACCATTGCAACAGTCGGGCATTTGTGTATTTTACAATAGTGACCTATTGAAAATTAATAGTGTTCATTTTAGCAGATTGGTAGATAAATTTCCAATCGTTTGGTTTGTTTAGAATTAAAATCCATCTGCTATTGGTAGAAACCTGACCAATTCAGGCCTTACATTAATTTGATAACGGCACAAAAGCATTTGTAAACAAACTTTCTAAGGCCTTTTACACGCAAACCAAAGTATGCCCGCGGAAACCAACAACATCATCGGATAGGGGCAACTATCACCTTTCCGAAAGTGGTATTGGTTTGCGTGGGCGTACTTTAGTTCGCGTGTAAAGGGCCTTAGAAAGTTTGTTTACAAATGCTTTTGTGCCGTTATCAAATGTTATGCCTGAATTTTCGAAATGCGGTCGATTTTGGTTTTTTTTTTTTGGTAAATCATGTGAAGATCTATCTAGCCCTGACGTATGTAATTTCAAGTAGGTCCTATGTAACATTGACAGATTCTCTTCGTCCACTTTCTCTTTGCACCCCACGGCCATGTAAAGATATACCCAGGTATTTTCAGCACACAGATCGATAAAAGAAGCTTTTATCTAGCATCTTATACGACAAACACATCAAGAAACGGTTCTATGCTCAAGTTATTAAAGAGAAAGAGAAAGTCGACGAAGAGAATCGATCAATGTTACTTAGGACCTAATGCAATGTTCAGCTTGATTTGTGAAAGTAAAACAAATCCTAGCCAGCTCTGCATGATGATTTTGTTTGATTGCATTATTTTGTAAAGCCGCCGGGAAATACCAGCTGGTGATAGTTTTTTTTTAGATAACTCCTTACTAGATAACAGGCAAAAACTCACAAACCAGCTTCATTTCATGATATACAGTGTGATAATTAAGTAATCAATTAATTATCTCAACATCTGCCACTAACCATTCATAAATTTCGGTAACATACAAGAAATTCAATAATCCATATTAAATTTCCTATGTAAGCGTCGATCGAAACAAACTTTTTGACGTAACTACAAGGGTGATTGAGTAAACAAATGAACGAAGCGGAATGAACATCGAGTGAAAACGAATTGCACCAATACATTCAGGCCTACAATTCCACACCTTCTATAGACCAGGCTGAGCTTTGATAATTAGCTGCTTGCGGGAACTGACATCCGATTGATGACCTTTACAAATGTCCAAAACATACTCTTTAATAAATTTGTGGTGGTCCTGAGAAGGGCCGTTTTGTCGTGATGGTTGAGTAATGCTGAGCAATTTACTTTGATGCATTTTCGAAAAATTCAAAAGAAGTTTTTTTCGACGCATTCTTTCAGATTGCTAAAAGCTCGCGTCATTTTGTGTAGAATAGCAAAAGGAATCGAATAGTGCGAGCATTTTGCAATCTGGACTAATGCGTCGAAAAAAACTGCTTTTGAATTTTTCAAAAAAGCATCAAAGTAAATTGAACCTTAACACTGATGAGGCTGTCGAGCTGTATGTTGTTTGAAGCGAGGGTGACACGCTTGGCATAGATGACCGACCCGCACGGAGCGACTCACGAAGAGCTACTGATTCTGATTCTGATTCCAAGCGGTGGGGCTTCTTCTTCCTATAGTTGCTTATGTGGGCTCTGCAGCTCACTGTTTGCAGGCAACTTTTCGTAGCGTACGGGAGAAAATGTTCAACAACACGCCGAAAGCATTGCTGCTGCTGCTGCTGCTGCTGCTGCTGCTACTGCTGCTACTGCTGCTGCTGCTGCTGCTGCTGCTGCTGTGGACACCGTCGACCGGACACCACCACACACGGTGATTGAATGAGCACCATTCAGTGAGACAGGATCGAATTCGATTTTTAAATCTGTGTTAGGGAATGCGCTGATTTCAGGCAATCGGTGATAATTTTGATCACCATTGCAACAGTCGGGCATTTGTGTATTTTACAATAGTGACCTATTGAAAATTAATAGTGTTCATTTTAGCAGATT